CTGGACTGACCGCACTGGGGCTCCCAGGGCCCAGGGATCGAGACCCTGGACTGAGTATACTGGGGCTCCCAGGGACCAGAGATCAAGACCCCTGGACTGACTGTACTGGGGCTCCCCGGGGCCCAGGGGTAGAGACCCTGCGGTCCAAATTGGTTTAATTAAAGTGCCAGATGTCAGGCGAGGAGCTGTGCCTCTGCTGCCTGCAGGCCCCTGATCAGACCGCACAGCAATCTCAGGTCCACCCAGTTTGCACGACCCAGTCTGGATTGCAGGCACCAGACTGTTCGAAGCAGCACAGCCCACTGGTCAGCTGTGAGCTGCTGGCAGTCTCTCCTCTCTGCCCTCTGTAAGACAGGAGTGGAAACGAGTCCTGCTGTGTGGTGCCGTGTTGAACCACTGGCTGGAACAGGACCCTCTGACAGCGCTGCTGCGAGGTTCTGATGTCAGGACTCAGGGCTGTTCGCCAGGCAGGCAAGAGCTCAGCTCCTGTCTGGGATCTCCTCCGGAGCGGTCCGCCTGGATGGACAGAGGCTGGCTGCTACGTGTCTCTGAACACGCACCTGCAATAATGGATACCAGCACAGCATGTGATCGGGCATAATTAGATTACCAGGAGCCTTTTGGGGAGGGAAAAGAGTAATTCTTCACTTGAGAGCTCAAGACGCAAGTAATGTGAGTGTAATGGACTGAACGTGCTCAACACTAGTCCAGGTCTGCCTGTGTCCAGTTTCTCTGTCCAGGCTGTGGTCACTGACTCGACTTCGTCAGGCGCTGTTGCTCTGTGCTATTTCTTACACTGGTCAGATACTCAGCTCTTGTGTGTTGTGTGTTTAGGGTCCTGCATCATTCCAGTTTGTGTTGTGTGTGTCCCAGTGGGTGAGGTGGTGTTGTGTGGTTTGTGTTGTGATGTGGTTGATTTTGATTCGTGTTGCTCTAGCAGTGCTGTCCTGAGGCTGGCTGGTGTCAGTGAGCCTCAGGACCAGCTGGCTGAGGGGGCTCTTCTCTGGGCTCAGCAGGGCCTTGTGGTCATAGGAATTGATTTTCATGTGTAACCAATATTTTATTGTTTTCTATATTCTGATTAGTAATAGGTAATGGCCTATTTCAGCCATGCACATATTGTTAGGTGTTTTTCTCTGCACATAGAGGATGTTCCTACAGATCTCCATCTGCAGAGTTTCTGTGGGGTGTTTGTCCCATTGAGTGTACTCCTGGTCTGTGAGGGGACCCCACACTTCACTGCCATATAGGGCAATGGCTTGGATTACACTTTCAGATATTTGCAGCCAGATTCTTGTTGGTGGGTTGATGTTAAAGAGCCTCCTTCTTATTGTGTAGAATGCCCTGAGTGCCTTCTCTCAGTGCCTTCACTGCCAGGTCACAAATCTCCCAGATGAACTGATTGTCAGCCCAAGGTGTGTGTAGCTGGTTGTGTGTTCCAGTGTGTTCTTGTTCAGTATGAAGTGGTACCTATTTCCCTGAGCTTGGGCTTAGTTCTGGAAAATCATAACTCTGGTCTTGTCCACATTGACTGTCAGTGCCCAGGTCTGACAGTACTGCTCCAGCAGGGCCAGGCTCTGCTGCAGCCCCTGTTCTGGGTCCAGATGGGCTGGCAGTGCCCAGGTCTGACAGTCCTGCTCCAGCAGGGCCAGGCTCTGCTGCAGCCCCTGTTCTGGGTCCAGATGGGCTGGCAGTGCCCAGGTCTGACAATACTGCTCCAGAAGTGCCAGGCTCTGCTGCAGCCCCTGTCCTGTGGGCGACAGCAGTATCAGGTCATCTGTGTAGAGCAGGAACTTGATATGTCTGTCATGTAGTGTGAGAACAGGAGCTGCAGACTGTTCCAACATTCCTGCTAATTAGTTGATATAAATATTGAACAGTGTTGGGCTCAGGCTGCAGCCCTGTCTCACCCCACGACCCTGAATGAATAATCTGTCCTTTTGTTTCCAATTTTCACTGCACATTTGTTCTCCGAGTACATTGATTTAATTATAATGATGTAGTTACCCTCTTATGCCATTTTGGAGAAGTTGATAAAATTGTCGTTTGTGCCAGATAACGTCAAATGGTGGTTGTCTATCAGTGTGCGTAGGGTGTGAATGTGATCGGGTGTACAGTTGTAGGAATGCACGGTGATCTGGTAAGAAGCCAATTTGTCTCTTACTCAGGACATTGTGTTCGGTAAGGAAGGCCAGTATTCGTGTGTTCAGGATACCTTCCCCAGGTTACTGTTCACACAGATGCCCCGGTAGTTGTTGGGATCGAGTCTGTCTCCACTCTTGTAGACGGGCCTGATCAGTCCTTGGTTCCAGGCCTCGGGGAAACACGCAGCTCTCAGGGTGAGGCTGAAGAGTTGAGCAGGGCTTGCTGCAGCTCTGAGCTGCTGTGTCTCGGCATCGTCTTGAATCCTTCTTGACCGCAGGCTTTTTGTGGGTCGAGGGGCTTGAGCTTGTCCCGTAGCTCTGTGATCATGTTTGTGGTCTGTTGGTAGAGATTTTAAACGAGAGACTCAATCATTTTGGGCGGCCAGTTCTTCTGGTTTTGTTGAATTGAAATGATTCCATTTTTATTGATTTACTGACTCCTCGGTTTCTGAGCGTTTATGTGTGTGTTTCTTCTGCCTTTAGGGTGTGTTTGTAGTGAACCGAGTGGCCTTTTCTCGTTTATAACCTTTCTGAAAGACCTTATCATGGTTTCTTGGAAAAGCCTGGCAGGAGGTTTTCACAGGGCTGTTGTCACTGCAGGGCCAAGAATCTCTGCTCCTGTTCTGAAACTAATTGCGCTGTAAAAACAGATAAAGTAGTAAATATTTAGCGAGTGCATACACATAACAGCGATCTACTGTGCAGCTTGACAATCAGGACTTTCACCGTGAGCTTCACTATGAATATATTTACTCTTCATATGCAATACACGTGTGAATATATATCAGGTATTTCCCTTAGACGATATCTGATTATTGATTTAGAAACGTATTTATTTCGACCTCAAACTTATTTATTGATGGGTTTTTTTTTTAAGTGTCAGAAAAGCGACAGTTTTTTTATGTGTTGCCGCTGTGGGAACACTCTAGTCCTTGCGTCGTGCCAATACAGCTCCTGCAGTTTGAAACAATCCCGCAGAAGGAGAGGGGGGTGGAGAGAGACAGACAGGCAAGGAGCGGGGTGTGGAGACGCAAGACGGATAGAGTAAACACCTGTAACAGTAGAAGAAAGCGACACCGGCGTGAACGTGGATCAGATAACAATTTCGGAGAATCAGCTCTTTCTGTGTATTGTACCCGCGCGGAGCGAAGGGCGCTCGCGGAGGGGATATAAGCAAGACCGCGCGCCGGCGATGACACTGCAGTTTCCACTCGGGGGGAGAGCGCGTGACTGCGCGGCGTGCGGGCGGACCGGCGGGGACCTGAGTTACCGTCACGGTCCCGGGAGGGCAGGATCGACAGGTCTCTCTTCGCGCGGCTGTTAATGGGAGCCCCGGGTCAGGCTCCGCTCAGCTCGCTGCACGCAACCGGTGGCGGCTTCAGACGTGCGCGTACGAGCCAGGTCCTTCACATCGCAAGCTGCGCCGAGTCCTCTCTCAGCAAGCAGCGCAGACTTAACGGTGAAAATGGGCCGGTACAGCGGGAAAACGTGCCGCCTGATTTTCATGCTGGTGCTGACTTTCGTGTTTTTCGTGGCCGAGATCGTGGCCGGTTACCTGGGCAACTCCATCGCGCTGGTGTCGGACTCCTTCAACATGCTGTCCGACCTGATGTCGCTGTGCGTCGGGCTGACCGCCGCCCGCGTGTCGCGCCGGCCCAGCTCGGGCCGCTGCACGTACGGGCTGCTCCGGGCGGAGGTGGTCGGGGCGCTGGCCAACGCCGTCTTCCTCGGAGCCCTGTGCTTCTCCATCACCGTGGAGGCCGTGAAGAGGCTGGTAAGCCCGGAGAGGATCGACGACCCGAAGCTGGTGCTGATCGTGGGGGCGCTGGGGCTGGCCGTCAACATCGTCGGGCTGCTCATCTTCCAGGACTGCGGCGGGTGCGCCAGGAGGAAGAGGAAGAGAGGGAGCTCGGCGCGGGAGAAGGAGGACGCGCACGGCGGAGCAGGTGCCTCTCAAAGCCTCTTTAAGTCACTTGGCGGCGTGGGAGAGCCCGCTCTCCAGTGCCGGCCCAGGCACGTAGGGACTGATCCGGGGTACCGCGCCGCTAATTCTAGGCGCTCCCGAGACTCCAGACAGCTAAGCGCGGCGAAAATCATCATAATAGTTAATAATCCTAATAATAATAATATACAGTAATAACAATTTACTCTCTTGTGTAACATTACGCACAGACTCGCTTGTCGCCAGCGGGACGCAGACGTGAGTTATCTCATGAGGTCGATAGCAACTTCATTTCAACATTCTCTTGGACAGAAAAAAGAACATAGATAGTTTACTGCTGTCGCTGGTTCTGTGCTCCAGCTGCTAGGTTTCTCAAGCAGGGGGGCAGTGGAGGGCCTGTGACTGTGCTGTTAGTGCTGGAGACCAGTTGAGAAGGGTCCCCAGAGATACGAAGCACATCGCGCTCTGATTAACTACAGATGAGACACCTGGTGCC